AGCGAAACTCCATCCCAAAAAAAAAAAAAAAAAGAATGGTTAAGGTAGGCTGGGTGTGGTCTGGCCTGGCCAGATGGCAGAGCCACACCTGGCTCATGTTAACTTTCATATTAACAGGTTTTGATTATCACCTAACCAGATACAATATGTAAAAATCTTTTTTTTTTTCTTTACAGGAGACTTAATGGAGCATTTAGTTGCCCATCCTGAATTCAAGATGCTGAGTGTTCGTAACATTCCTCACATGTCTGAGAACTCATTGGCATACAGCACATTTACCTGGGCTGGCCTCCTCAAGCACTTGAGACAGATGCTCATTTCTAATGCAAAGATGGAAGAAGGTAAAGATTATTCTGGCCGGGCACGGTGGCTCACGCCTGTAATCCCAGCACTTTGGGAGGCTGAGGCAGGCGGATCACGAGGTCAGGAGATCGAGACCAACCTGGCCAACATGGTGAAACCCTTTCTCAATTAAAAAAAAAAATTTTTTAATTTAAAATTTAAAAAAGAATATTCCAAAAATATGCAGCCCACAAACTGGGAAAAATGCCTGTCCTGGAGTCTCAATATAAACTGGCTCAGACCAGTTAAAATAATAGTCTCTTCTTCTGGCTAGGGAGGCTCCTGCAGAAACTCCCCAGGACATCCTAGGAGGGCTTCTTAATCACCTTAGTTTTATTACCAAAAGACATTTCAATTGAGTGCCACAATTTTTTGTAATTTTTTAAATTTTAATCAAAGTAATAAATGACCATAGTTTAAAAAATCAAGTAGCCAAAACTCATTTAAATATATACTTAAATCTAGCTGGGCACAGTGGCTCACACCTGTAATCCCAGCACTTTGGGAGGCCGAGATGGGCGGATCACTTGAGATCAGGAGTTTGAGACTAGCTTGACCAACCTGGTGAAACCCCATCTCTACTAAAAATAGAAAAATTAGCTGGGCATGGTGGCAGGCGCCTATAATCCAAGCTACTCTGGAGGCTGAGGCAGGAGAATCCCTCAAACCCGGGAGGTGGAAGTTACAGTGAGCCGAGATTATGCCATTGCACTCCAGCCTGGGTGACGGGCAAAACTCCCCCTCTCTCTCTCTGTGTGTGTATAAAATATTATAATGATAATAGTAAATTATATAATATATATATATTCACAGTAGAGCCTTGTACTGTGTACACAGATTATATTTTATTTTGTGTACAATTTATTTTTCCCTCCTGGAGTTGTTAGTCATTATATTTATTTGGTAGATATTCTCTGTACCTATCACCAATATATTCTGAAACTTTTCTGTAAAAAACGAATCCTTTTTCTGCCAGGTGCGGTGGCTCACACCTATAATCCCAGCACTTTGGGAGGCTGAGGCAGGCAGATCATGAGGTCAGGTGTTCGAGACCAGCCTGACCAACACGGGGAAACCCTGTTAGGTATCTAAAAATACAAAAATTAGCTGGGCGTGGTGGCCTGTACCTGCAATCCCAGTTACTCAGGAGGCTGAGGCAGGAGAATCGATCACTTGAACCCAGGAGGCAGAGGTTGTGGTGAGCCGGGATCGAACCACTGCACTCCAGCCTGGGCAGTAGAGCAAGACTCCATCTCAAAAAAAAAAAAAAAAAGAATCCCTTCTCAGATGTGGTGGCTCACACCTGTAATCTCAGCACATGGGGAGGCTGAGGCAAGAGGATCACTTGAGACCAGGAGTTCAAAACCAGCTTGAGCAACAAAGCAAGACTCCACCTTTTAGAAAGTGATTTTAAAATTAGCTGGCCCTATAGTCCTAGCTGCATAGAGAGTGAGGCAGGAGAATCCCTTGAGCCAACAGGTTTGAGTTTAAAATGAGCTATGATCATGTCACTGCAGTCCAGCTCAGGCACAAAAAAAGACCTGTTTCTCAATATGTTTAAACCCATCAGGTAATGGATTACTTCTATTATCTGCTTAGAGATATCTTTCTAGAAGGCCTATGTCTTCCAGTTCCAATCTGGACTGACTGCTCTCCAGGCTTGATAAGCAGCCAGCCCTGGCGTCTCTCTTGCCTCATCCTGTGTTATGTCTGTGCCAGATTTCAGATCTGCTTTCTTGGTTTATTCCCTCATATTGATGGACCATACTTTCCAGGAGCTCCTTAAGAAAAAGTACAAGGGGCCAGGGGTGGTGGCTCACGCCTGTAATCCAAGCACTTTGGAGGCCAAGGCGGGCAGATCACCCGAGGTCGGGAGTTCAAGACCAACCTGACCAACAGGGTGAAACTCCGTCTTTAAAAAAAAAAGAAAAGAAAAAGTACAAGGAAAATAAAGTGTTTGAGGCTCTAAATAGCATCATTCTGTTCTGCCATTACATTTGAATAATAGTTTGGCCAGGAATAGGATTCTAGGTTGGTAGTCCTTTTCACTGAGTATTTCAAAGGCATTGCTCTGTTATCTTCCCACTTGCAGTGCTGCTGTTGAGAAGTCTCATGTCCTTCTGATTCCCAATCCTATTTTGTTATCTCTTGAAGCTTTTAGTATTTTCTCTTTGTCCCCAGCATTCTGAAAGTACTTGGTGTGGGACTTTATCTCAGTAGAATGTAAGCTTTATTATCTATTTGGTTTACTGTTGCATCTTTGGAGCCTGGAACAGTAAACGCTCAGTGATTATTTGCTGAGTATGTTGTTCTGGGCACTGAATGGACCCTCATGGACATTGCAGACTTGTGTGGTTTTCACAGTAAGGCGATCTGCCTGGCCATTTTATTGCTGGGCTTCCAAATATCACACTTAGTGTATCTTATCTCTTGATCAGTTGCTTCCTCCTCCATCTCTTTCCATGACAAGCCGGGCTGCCAGCCTTTACAGAGCTGGATGGAGAAGACATAGGCTGTTAACCTTCCTGTGAAACCAGTGACCTGGTTTTCCAAAAGGTTCTCTGCCGGGCTGTGCTTGGTGTCACTGAGGCCAGAACCTCTGAGGTTTAGCCTTTTGACAGCAGAAACCTTCTTCTAGGGTGGAAGAGCTCACTCTCCCTGCAGCAGGGAGTGAGGAAGGGGCTCTCACTGCTTCTCAAACAGATTTTCAGCTAATCTTCCTGTTTTTTTTTTGTTTTGTTTTTTTTGGTGAGACGGAGTCATCTTGGCTCACTGCAACCTCTACATCCTGGATTCAGGTGATCCCCCTACTTCAGCCTCCTAAGTAGCTGGGATTACCAATGTTCACCACCATACCTAGCTAATTTTTGTATTTTTAGTAGATTCGGGGTTTTACCATGTTGGCCAGGCTAGTCTTGAACTCCTGACCTCAAGTGATCCTCCTGCCTCAAATTCTGACCCCAAGTGCTGGGATTACAGACATGAGCCACCGTGCCCAGCCTTTTTGCCACCTTGAGAAGTGTCTGGTCTACAAGTGTCTAGCTTTTTCTTGTTGTGCAGTCAGTAACCACTAGTTCATTTGTTCTCCAGCTTCCAAAATTTTGTTGCTGTTCATCTTGTTTCTAGTTCCCTTTTTTTCTTGTTTATGCTTATCCTTTTATTGATTAAGCAGGATCTGGGGAGAGGGTGGCAGTAAACTGATATGTTCAGTCTGTCATGTTTAACTAGAAATCACTAGTAAGTGTTACTAGCATAAGTTAGGTTTTTATACTATGAAAGTAGATTTTCTCAAAATTAATTTGTAATATCTTACGGATTTTAGATTATAGTGCCAGAGGTTTGGAGATAAGTAGAAAGTTCACATCTAAAAGTAGTGCTTCCTGAATTTTTTGGCAGTAGTACCTGTTTTTCTAGCAATACCTGTTAATACCACAAGGAACACAGTGTTCCTTAGAGTCGTGTGAGACGTGCTGCTCTGAGCTCTCTTAGGTCAGTAAACCACAGTTTGCTGAGTTATTTTCCCATATAGAACTTTAGGGTGTCAACATTTTTTCACAGTTGTATAGTTTGAACAAATAAATGTTTCCATACACATGTATGAATAGTATATGAATAAATATATTTATGGCACAAACCAGGTTGAAGGATCTAGTTTTATAACTCTCTCTGCTCTGTGGAAAGGTTTTGTTTTGTTCCTTTTTTGAGATGGGGTCTCACTCTGTCACCTAGGCTGGAGGGCAGTGGTGCAATCATAGCTCACTGCAGCCTCAAACTCCTGGGCTCAAGTGATCCTCCTATTACAGCCTCCTGAGTAGGTAGGACTACAGGTATGTACCACCACACCTGACTAGTTTTGTTATTTATTTTGTGGAGATGGGTTCTCACTATGTTGCCCAGGCTGGTCTTGAACTCCTGGTTTCAAGTGATCCTCCCACCTTAGCCTCTCTAAGTGCTAGGATTACAGATGTGAGCCACTGCGCTTGGCCTCTATGTAAAGATTTACCCCATTTCCATCACCATCAGTATCTGTTTCTACGTGTTCTACCATCAGGGAGAATGTGTGATCCAGGAGGGAGCAAGGTGGAAGTTAATGCTTCCTTTTTTCTTTTTTTGAGACAGAGTCTCACTCTGTCGCCCAGGCTGGAATGCAATGGTATGGTCTCGGCTCACTGCAACCTTCACCTCCTGGGTTCAAGCGATTCTCCTGCCTGAGCCTCCTGAGTAGCTGGAATTACAGGTGCCTGTCACCATGCCAAGATAATTTTTTGTATTTTTAGTAGAGACGGGGTTTTACCATGTTGGCCAGGCTGGTCTTGAACCCCTGACTTCATGATCCACCTGCCTCAGCCTCCTATAGTGCTGGGATTACAGACGAGCCACTGCGCTCGGGCACCTTTTTTTTTTTTTTGAGTCAGAGTCTCACTTTTGTTGCCCAGGTTGGAGTGCAGTGGCATGATCTTGGCTTACTGCAGCCTCCACCTCCCAGGTTCAAACGATTCTCCTGCCTCAACCTCCCAAGTAGCTGGGATTACGGGTGCCTGACACCACACCCAGCTAATTTTTGTGTGTGTGTTTTTAGTACAGACAGGGTTTCACCATGTTGGCCAGGCTGATCTCAAACTTCTGATCTCAAGTGATCTGCTTGCCTCGGCCTCCCAAAGTGGTAGGATTACAGGCATAAGCCACTGCTCTGGCCTTGAAGTTAATGCCTTTTATGAGCTAGCTTTGGAAGTATTTCTTCAACATCCTTTTGGTTAAGGTTAGCCCTCTCCAGTGTGAGAGCATACTGCCTAAGGGCTTGAATACCAGGAAGCAAAGATGATTGGGGTCATGTTGGAGGCTCATAACTGTTCTCTGCCCTGTCTGTGGTAAGTCATGTCCTCCCACATGCACACTACACTCCTCCCGTCCCAAAGCCCCCAGAAGTTACATCCCATTAGCACATTGGTACAAAATCTTATCCTCCAAAAGCAGCCTGGATTTATACTCCTCAGGTGAGATTTCTCACTCTGTCACCCAGGCTGGAGGGCAGTGGCATGATCACAGCCCACTGTAGCCTTGATCTCCTAGGCTTAGGCAATCCTCCCCACTCAGTTTCCCAAGTAGCCGGGACGACAGGTGCATGCCACAGATGCCAGACGAATTTTTGTGGTTTTTTTTAGAGGCAGAGTCCACTATGTTGTCCAGGACTGGTCTCGAACTCCTGGGCTCAAGAGATCCTCCCACTGCAGCCTACCAAGTGCTGGGATTACAGGCATGAGCCACCACAACCAGCCTAAGATTTCTTGAGTATAGCCCTTTGAATACAGTTTTTTGCCCCAGCAAACTCTAATGGAATAGGCATAGGAGAATTGGTAGATCCTCCCTTTGAAACAGGGAAAATGATGCCTGTAGTCCCAGCTACATAGAATAAGGTAGGAGGATCATTTGAGCTCAGGAGTTCGAGGCTGCACGGAGCTATGATCATACCTGTGAATAGCCACTGCACTCCAGCCTGGGTGACATAGTGAGACCCTGTCAAAAAAAAAACGCTAAAATACACATACCACAAGACCATTTTTCTCCTTTTGTTCAAAGCCACTTATAAAATCTTTTGCTTTCGGGCTAGGTGCAGTGGCTCACTCCTATAATCCCAGCACTTAGGGAGGCCAAGGCTGGTGGATCATTTGAGATCAGAAGTTTAAGACCAGCCTGGACAACATGGTGAAACGACGTCTGTACTAAAAACACAAAAAGATTAGCTGGACATGGTGGTGCACGCCTCTAATCTCAGCCACCCCGTTACTGGGGGAGACTGAAATAGGAGAATGGCTTGAACCCAAGACCCGAGAGGTAGAGGTTGCAGTGAGCCGAGATCACGCCACTGCACTCCAGCCTGGGCAACAGAGTGAGGCTCCATCTAAAATAAATAAATAAAATAAAATCTCTTGCTCTTTTTTTTTTTTCTTTCGGTAGGAATTGATTGGCAAGTACGGCCTCCTTTATCAGGACTCCCTCCTCTTGGTAAAATGTCTCTCAGCAAAGACCTGCATTTTAACACTTCCATTGCTAACTTGGTCATTCTTCGTGGGAAAGATGTGCAAAGTGCAGATGTGGGTAAGAAACTAAGGTGAAAATTAAGATGTACATTTTGTACATGTACATGCTTTATGATACAATTTTATTTTATTTTATTTTTTTGAGACAGAGTCTTGCTCTGTCACCAGGCTGGGGTGTAGTGGCGTGATCCTGGCTCACTGCAACTTCCATTTTCCAGTTTCAAGCAATTCCTCTGCCTCAGTCTCCCAAGTAGCTGGGACAACAGGCACGCACCACCGCGCCTGGCTAATTTTTTGTACTTTTAGTAGAGATGGGGTTTCACCATGTTGGCCAGGATGGTCTCGATCTTTTGACCTCGTGATCCGCCCGCCTTGGCCTCCCAAAGTGCTGGGATTACAGGCGTGAGCCACCGCGCCCAGCCAATTTTTTTTTTTTTTTTTCTGTCACCCAGGCTGGAATGCAGTGTTATGATCTCAGCTCACTGCAACCTCCGCCTCCTGGGTTCCATTGATTCTCTTGCCTCAGCCTCCTGAGTATCTGGGACTACAGGTATGCACCACCACGCCCAGCTAATTTTTTTTTTTTTTTTTTTTTTTTTTT